TAAACTCAAGTTTTATTTTGAAAAGAACCGAGCAGATTTTACAGCTTTAAACCCAGTGTGGACGGTATTCAGGCCTGTTCTGAGGGATTTGCTTTAAATGTCAGAGCTGTGAGCCAGAGGCTAAACAGACTTGTGAACTTGACACCAGCTGGAAGCCTGAACTTGGCTTGAATGCACACAGTGTAGTGCTGAATATCAAAATATCCCTGTATTAGCGATAAGTCCCCTGTAAATACTGTTGCTCAAACGAAACTTGTTGCCATAACAGTTACTTTGAGCACTTATTTTACACAAAACAATCGGGCGGTATAAAAAAAAAGGGGGTATAAAAACATAAAAAACTGGACATTTATGCATTATTGAAAATTGATTTAATATAAAGCAGAAAATCACAACAGACAACTGAAGAAAAACCTTAGGTTTGATTTATCAAAACGTCTATTACGATTAAAATGTAGCTTTTCTTCTTAATAAAAAATAGAGCCAAAAATAGTCTGGGGTTTCTTTATTAGACCACATGTAAAACAAAGCTAGCATCAAATGCTTACCTTTTTACTGATAGACCCAGCCGAGAGCCCGACGAGGAAGAAAAACCACAGATTCTTCATCTTCACAAGCAAAATACGGAAAAAAGGACCAGGAAAAAAAGCCTTAGAAATTAACAGTAACACTAAAAATGATTTTAAAGCGTTCAACTGGATGAAAAACGTATAAAAATCGGACTGAACACGTTTAAGGTTTCTTCTAAAGCCTCCGTCTTTGCTAAATCTTAGCTCTACTCGGGAATGACCCCTCTCCTCGCGCTGGGTAAGTTACACTGGAAACTTGTTTGGACAATCTGTGCGGCGTGGCTACGCGTTGACGTCATCACAACGACGTTCATGAATGTAGGTGGGACGGCGGCGGAAATGGGGGAGGCGTAGTAATGTCATCGATTTGTTAGAAATGGGCAGTTGTTTTGACATTTTTGTAAACTCTTGAGAGTCCTATTTTCCAATTGACTTCAGATGTTTCAGCTTGTATTGTATTTTTAAAGTCTCATTAAACTAAAAATAGCAATAACACAAAGACTGCTGAAATTAAGTGAACAAACAAGCCAAAGTAAAAACAAAAAAACTAGTTATGCTGCTATACATCTAAAATAATATGTAAAGGCACAAAATTCAATAACTAAATAAACACGAAAAATTGTAGGCCTATTTCAGATCAGATAAAGGACAGAGGTGTTTGTCAATACAGGACTCCTGTAGCTCTATCTGTAGATAAAGTTTAATGAAAATGGATAATGCACACTTTATCCCGTTTCATTTAAAAGAAAACAGATGAGATGTGTCAAAATTAAAACTTAATTTTTCATCTTTTGAATAAATTAATTTCCCTGACTAGTAATTCCGGACTAATTAAATCTTATTAATTTAGCAATATGCTGTTAAACCTTTTACCTGTCTGTTAGTAACAATAAATATTATTCAATGATTCAAACTGACTGCTTTCTTTAGGACAACAGTGGGCCTAGTTTTGTTCCACTGATCAAGCTCATTCTAAATTAAATTAAATTTTATTAAAATAATAGGATCATCAGTGATTTATGCACATTGTTGAGATCCTGTTTATTGTAAATGTTCTTTACTTTTAGTTAGAACATTCAGGGGATGCTTGTTGTTACTATGTTTTTGTACAATTTATGGTTTTTGAAACCTTGAGCTTCTTTAGGAAACGTTGAGGAAACGCCAGCAGCTTGGTTTTGGTCCAATGCTGCCCCCCTGTGACAACTTTATGATAGAAGCTCTGACTTCAGTCATTCTTCAGTCATTCAGTCAGACTTGAATGATCTTCATGGAGCAGTCAACTCATTTATTCCATCATCAGTGGTGGCTGGTCAATTTTTTTTTTGACTACGCTCTTAGTTTCCTTTTATTATCATATTCTCCATTGGTTAATGTTTTATTTTATACTAAAAACTCAACTTGTTCTTTTTGAAAGTTTTAAAATACTAAAACAGATAGTTAAAATTCTATATTTTTGGTAAACTTACTTATTTAAGTTATTTACCACTCTATTATTTAAATTGTGCAGCACCCGGTCCCCTTTCTTTGTGAATACACTCTTAGTTTAAGAGGTTTATAACTTGCTCTTTTTTTGTTGTTAGTCTTTTTTAATAACTTTGTCTTTATCGTTTGTTTCTGTTAATGCCAGGGGGTACTCAAGGCTAACAAATCTCCTKGCACAGATAGTTTATCTTCTGAGTTTTATCAATCATTCTCTAATCATATAGCTCCATTTCTCCTACAGGTTTTCCTAGAAAGTATGAATAACACTCTCCCTCCTTCACTTACTCAAGGACTTATAACTCATTCCGAAACCAAACAAAGACATACTTTTTATTGATAATTGGAGACCGTATAAGTCTGCTCAATAATGACTATAAAATTATGGCTTTAATACTTGCTAATAGAATTAAAGAGGTTTTGGATACAGTTATTGATGAGACACAGTCAGGTTTTATGAGAAACAGACACAACTCGAACGATATCAGACTAGTTTTAGACCTACTCGATTACTCAGATTTGGTACCTGATAAGATAGTTACATTCTCTTCCTGGATTTTTATAAAGCCTTCGATRCAATTCAACATCAATTTATTTTTCAATCTTTAGAAAAATTTGATTTTGGAACATTTTTTTGTAATGCTGTCAAAACCTTATACTCAAACAGTAATAGTTATATTAAAATGCAAAATGGCTCCACTCCTAGATCCGACTTAAAACGTGGTATTCGACAAGGATGTCCCATTTCACCATACTTATTCTTACTTTGTTCACAAATTCTTACAACTCATATCTCCAATAGTGCTGTACAAGGAATAATATAGCTAAAGACATTCTAATCAGCCAGCTGGCTGATGACACCACAGTTCTTTTGAGGAATAAAAACCAGATCCCTGTTGCCTTATATGTGATTGGTGCCTTTTCCAAGGCTTCTGGTTTGTGCTTAAATTTAAAAAAAAAAAAAAGTGAATTGCTAGCAATTAAAAATTGTCCAGCAAATGTTATCTGTAATATTCCTGTCAAACAAGGTCACTTATTTGGGAATTTTAATCTCTAAAGATCAAAAAATAAGATGCTCCTCTAATTTTACACCAATTATACAGAAAACCAAAAATAAACCGCAGAGGGACCTTTCTCTAAAGGTAGAGTATTGATTACCAAAGCTGAAGGATTATCCCGACTGACATATGCTGCTCTCTCCTTACATATAGATAATAAAATTAGTAAAGATATTGACCGTATGCTTTTTAATTTTATATGGAAAAACCGTACACATTATATTAGAAAAACTGTTGTTATGAATGATTACGAATCAGGTGGGCTGAATTTTCTGTATTTCTCCACCTTAAACAACACATTCAAGATTAACTGGGCTAAACATTTTCTTAAGAATCCAACTTGTGTGTGGAATCTTATACCATATCATGTTTTCCTGCGCTTTGGTGGGTTTCATTTAGTTTTAAATTGTAATTATAATGTTGAAAAACTCCCCGTAAAACTTTCATCCTTCCATCAACAAGTGTTTTTGGCATGGACCCTGATTTATAAGCACAACTTCTCACCATACAATTATCTTATCTGGAACAACAGAGATATTTTTAGTTAAAAACAGATCACACTTTCTTGAGACTTGGGTTAGAAATGGGATCCTGCTGGTGGCTCAGCTGAGTAAGTAAAGTAAAGTATTTGTATGTTACTTCACACCTCTGCCTGCTACCCAATCAGCATCACCAGTAACACCTGTTTCTCATCTTTCAGTAACAGCCATCACTTTAGGAAAACATTTCAGACAACTTGGCAATAAATGCTGAAAGTTTTATTGTTTGGCTTTTCATTACAGACAGGCTTTAACTATGTTTTTAGATCACATCTTCAAACACATTTGTATTCAGTTTTCACATTTAATAAAGCATGAACACCTGACTATTTTTGCATTTTTTTCATATTATATCTAAATATATTGTAYGTTTTGGTTTTTATGGTTGTTTTGAATTAATAAAATTTGGTAACAGGCCTCAAGCAAAAGTATAGTGCAATTCATGAACACTTGTTTTTTCGTAAGAAAAACTTTCTCTACTTGCAAATATACTAGTATTTTTTGGACTAAGTACAAACTGCTGAAAAAACATATTTACTCTTTTATCAGAGATACAGTTTCTGTGTATCGGTGCGTTTAATGACATATGGCAATGATCACAGCACACACCAGATGATCACCTGATAAAACTTGGCTTTCTCCAGCAGAATAATGTTCCACAATGTATGAACTCTGGGTTAAAACAAAAAGGCAACATTTAAGAACAAGCTGGGCACTGAAGACATCTTTAATGCCAGACACATATTTATACATTTAATATCAATTTAAGTAAAATAACTATCCTTAAAGCACTTTTGGATTTTTTTTTTTTTACTAACAGTCCAGTTGTTGGTTAGTTCTCTGTTTCATGTAAAGTACTGCCACTCACAAACATGGATGAGTTTCTTTAGAGCTGCAGAGTCTGACCACTTCAACAGAGCAGAGTTCATCTGACTCCAGGTTTAAAGTCTGAGGACTTCAGATTTCTCTTCCAAATCTGTGGGATCTGTCACATGCAAAGGAAATGATCTTTTAACACACATTCCTCTGACATCAACAAATATTCTGCACAGTAAATCGAAACTACTCTACAGATAGACCATCAAACTAAAGCTTAAAGTGCCTGTGACATTAAATTTAAGTGATATATTTGAGTCCATATTTGGAGATAGAACTTTTTTTTCCCCCGCTCTCGCAGGAGTAAGACGCTACTTCCTCCTCTCCTGCCCTTCCTTATCTTTCCCTGCTTTGCTGCTGGAGCCTTCTCCACATTTTTCATCCGAAATAAGAAATCATGGATTTTTTTATGGATTTGGTTAGCAGATCTCTCAATAAAATTTTTGGAACAAAGTTTTTTCTTCTTCCATGGGAGGACATGTCAAAGGTGGGACCTCTGTTCTTCTCTGTTCTGGACTCCGATCACCGGATTCTTCAGATTGGCTTGGTGGTCTCCTGGTGTTCATCTACTGGCTGACTGACCAATTCGAGRGGTGGCCGTATTCTATCAGAACTCGGACATTTTGCCTTGAGCGAGCTGGATTTGGTCTGCAAGCGGTTCTATTGAGGRTCGCGGGCCGGCTGTGGTCCCTGGACTTTGCTGGCCAGATGGAATTGATCTGGGAGGAAGCTGATAGATTCGGCTCGGCGGAATTTGTCCACACCATTTTGCCTGATTGGGATCGTCAACCTTGAGAGTACCAGCAGACACTCTAAAGCAAATGGAAAATTGTTGTCGTCTGCTTGTCTCTTCTGTTCCCAAAACAACTGATTACAGAATCTGGATCTCCCCGACAACGGCCTTGGATCTGTTGACTAAATTCTTCCTGGTTGGAGATGTCGACAAGGCTCTGCCCCATACCTTCCTCCCTCCTCTCACCCGTCTRATCTGTTTTCCAGAGTAGGCTGAAAGCTGCACAGAAATGAACAGTTCCATCAATATTCTGAACTTTGGCTGCGTTGGCCTTGGGGACTGGATTCTTCGGGCCCCCTTAAAACTCACTCCTCTGGCTAATAAACTTGCTCTATGCAGAGGTTTTTTTCATAAACACCATAATGTGCCACAGTGTTGATTTGATGTTTTTGCTTTTATCCTCATCTTACCTTCCCTTGTGTGTTTTTCAGGTTTTTTTGTTTCTAAGTTGGCGCCACGGCAGGCAGCCTGTTTCTGCAACTCCACTGTTTTGAGCTGTTGTAATGTTGAAATTTCCCTACTGTGGGATCATTAAAGTTCTATCTTATCTTTTCTTATTAATAATGAATTGCAAACAAAAATTCACGACACTGAAATTAACAGTCATTGAGAAATTCGCATGAGCAGAAACAGGAAGTGATGTCAATGCCAGAATGAGCTGTTACAACGACTAACAACAGACTGCAAAGAATCGGATGTTTCTGTAGATTATTTTGAGTCATCAGCTAGATAAAGAAGAGTCAGATTTATAAAAACCAAAGAGTTCCCCTTTGACATCACGTCCTGTTTCACTTGGACTGCACCAAATTTGGCAAAAAATATGCAAGTTTTGTGACAAACTGGTTAAAAATCATATGAATGAGGCCAAATTTCTGAGATTTCAGAATATTTTCTTTGATTTTTTTGTAAATGAAGAAAAAGCATGTCACAGGCACTTTAAATAACATTTCACAAACTGAACTGGGATGTGTGACGCTATGTTACCGGTCGGAGAACTGAAGGCTCTAGATGCCTTCCCAAAAAGGATAAGAGCCGTCTCCATATGAGCCCGCTGCCCAAGAACATGAAGCCAGTCACCAGCCAGAAAGCACGAGGGTCCTGCGGTAAAACATACATGCTCGTTATCCGAGGAGGGAACACACAGTTTGCTTGAATTAAACCATCTAAATCCTGCTGGGGTGTGTCTATTTAGCAGCAAAATGCCTCACGTCTTCAAAAGCTGTTGTTAAGTTCATTCCAAAGGCRACTCCGATCAGACCGAACAGCGTAAGCGAGAAGGAACCCATCGTCAGCTGCAGGTTCAGACGCATCATCACGTTTCGATGGCTGCAAGAAAACAAAACAAAAGAAGTGTTACTTCACTTCAATATAGGGTGACCAGATGTCTCCAGTTGCCAGGGACAGCTTGTCCAAAACAGGGACTGTCCCCGGGTGTGTCCCAAATTTTATTGTTATGAATGAGAAAAAAATGTTGCATGTCGGTTGCTACAACGTAGCCGGACCAAGCAAGGGATGCTGGGTGACTTGGTGGAAGCTAGACGTGTGCATTGCAGTTAAAGATGTTCATGAGTGTAAAATTAAATTGTTAATGTTTAAGTCTGTGTTACTGGCTGTAAATTGACACCATGAGGTACTTCCTGGGTGTACGGAGGGGGTGAATTTTCTGATACGGGGGTAGTAAATGAAGTTTGACATCCCTGAACCGTGCTTGACTGCTGGCAGAGTATCAATAATATGTAAAAATTGATAAAACTATAACTGTCCCAGTTTCTTAATTTCATCTTGATATAAACAAATTCATTTTTTTTCCAAGCTGGAAATATCCTTGGATTTAATTTTGGAAATCTGGTCCCCTTACCTCAAAACCACAWCAAAGAAAAACCATCAAAGAAAAAAAAGACAGGTACAGACATGAAAGCATTTTTAGTTTCAAACAAAATTCAAAAGTCTTTATGATTCAGTCCAATAACATGGCATGTACACATGCTGTACGGTGAGTGTGTGTACCTGTCTAGATTGATAAAGATGACGCTCTCGGAGTCATCGATCAGTCCCTTCAACTCTCGGGCTGTGTTTCCCAGCTCCTCAGCCTGCAGGCAGCAGACATTTTATTACAAGAACACATACGGTCAGGGTAAAACATTTAGAAATATTTATTTGTAATAAAATCTATGCCAAAGTGCAGAAGCAGACTGAGAAAAACTTTAGTAACTTTAAAACATTTGAGTTAAAATGAGGTCTGGATTTCAACTTTGATGTAATGTAATGTAATAATAA